TGGGGAGGAGGGTTCATATCTGCAACTCTGATGGGGAAATGGGATGAAGAATAGGCAGAGCAGAAAGCATGTGCACAGTGTGTCCCATGCACTCAGGCCCAATGCCGCATATAAGTAAGGCTTTGATGCTCAGGAAGGGGCCTGTAGAATTAGACAAAGTACTGAGATGTGATCTCTAAGTGAATGGGGTCAATACAGGAAGGTGAGATGTAACTCAGGAAATAACATGAAAGCTCAGAGGTTAGTGCTGGGATCCTGAGTCTCAGATCAAGGTGCCAGCAAGGACAACTGGAATGAATGCTTGGCTATATCCTTTGGACCCAACTTCCCTGACTCAGGTCATGGCTTATACAGCCGTGGGCAAACTACGGCCCGCGGGCCGGATCCGACCCATTTGAAATGAATAAAACTAAAAAAAGAAAAGACCGTACCCTTTTATGTAATGATGTTTACTTTGAATTTATATTAGTTCACACAAACACACCATCCATACTTTTGTTCCGGCCCTCCGGTCCAGTTTAAGAACCCATTGTGGTCCTCGAGTAAAAAGTTTGCCCACCCCTGGCTTATAAAGTAGTCAAAGTGATTTCTATAGGTCTGACTTTCTACTTAAATAGCCCCCATGAGCCTTCCTTGTGTAGATGAGGTAGGACTCAGAGTTTTCCCAGTAACACTGCATTCTTTGTTCTTCCTCCTCTTGGCCATCAGATGCCTTTAGGTAGAGTCTTGCTTCTTCTTCCCCACTTTCCCCCTGCAAACCATTCCAAATTCTTGGCCTGCCCAGCCCATTGACCTCATGGCAACTCCCCTAACTGAAAATACTGCTTCTCTTCTCCAAGGCTAGCTAAAAAAGCCCTTTGTGGCTCACTTGAGGACAGAGATGGCCTACAGCCTCACTGTTTCCTGTGTGGTCCTACACCAACAGCATTGGCGTCACCTGGAAACTTGTCAGAAATTCAGAAACTCAGGCCCCACCCAAGATCTACCGAGTCTACATTTTAACAAGACCCTGAGTGACTCCTCTGTACAGGAAAGTCTGAGAAACCTTGCTCTGGAATCCAGATTATATGTAATTACCAGTAAAGTGAGCCGATTCAGGGGAAAAAATCACTCAGTCTTGATATATCCAAATCTCTAACAGAAGATGTAAATCTTTCTAGAGAGTTAAACCTTACACAACGGTTTGAGGTCCTGGCATGCTCAGGGTGTTAATATACTCAGCCCAAGGGTGTGTTTACCAAAGGCAAACAAGTGCCCCATTTTCTCAAATACACTAAAATCCTAGTGGAGATCAAACTTGGTGCCTGGTTGGAGCTGATGCCATAGCTTAGGATGTGCAATGGCTGGAGAGCCTGTTTTGTGCCACCCAATGAGTCACAAATGCAAACTAAGGATTGGCTATTTCAATGAAGCTGCCCACAACAGAAAACTCAGGGAGATATTCTTAGCACTGAGCCAGAGGACTTCAGAAGCCAACGTCAGCAATCTGAGTTGAAATCCAGGCTACTAACAGGATAAACCATAGACTGATTTTTACACAAGGACTCACAGACCTCTGGGTCCCACATATGGCCTGGCAGTAGCTAGAGTAGCTAGTGAGTAAGAGCATTTGCATATGCTGTACATGCCCTGCCTATATCCCTCAGCCCAGCTCCTTATTGCAAAGATAGGCCAAGAATTTTTTTTTCAGGCTGTGGGAACAAACTCAGGCTGAGTAGGGACAGCTCTCAACCAACCACAAGCGTGAATTGGTGGATAAATGTCCCAGCTCCCTTCCCGCCTGAGATGGAATAACACTGAAGTATGTCTACACAGCCTCCCATAGTTTCCTAGTAGGACTGAGCTCCACTTGTCTATTGGGGTAACTTGCTTGACAACATGCCCGGGATTGGCTGCCTTTCCTTCTCTGTCTCCATTCTCTGCTCACCTGCTGGTGCTTCCTGGGATCACTTCCTGAATAAGTGACTGGCACCCAAACCCTTGTCTCAGGGTCAGCTCCTGGGAGAAATGAACCAACACGAGAGCAATTTCTGAGTAGCTGGGATGAATGGACTCATCTGTGGCTCAACTGCATCATTTTATTTCAATATTTAAAATAAAGTTGTTTCGCAGGGCTCTGATTAAAAATGTTCCCATTATATGGTTTCGGCTAAATCATTTGTATTTCATGTTTGTGTTTGAACAAAAATATGGAAATAATCTTCACTGACATGTTCACATTGTTGGCATCCACTTCATATATCCAAGAATAAAGGCATAATTTTTGATGGCTCTTTGTGGAACTGGAGTGTGGGTGATGATTACCCCATATTTTAGGATTAACCAATAGGAAAAGAAGCATTTCAAGCCACCTCTTCCCACCACCACCACCTCCCCGCCCCCCCCCCCCTCGCCAAAAGGAGGGTTTGCTAACATAGCTGGTCAAAACCTGACATTTGGCTATGGGAAACTGTGTCTCAAGAAGCAGTAGACAAATCTTATTTTCCTCCCTGATCTATGTGTTGCAGGCTCTCGAGTTTCTTGTCCCCATGTAGAACAAGAATTACTTGTCTTCCAACTTGTCCTATTTTGGCTTCTTTGCCAGTGACAATGTGAATAAAGTTGGGTGGAAGAACTCAGGCTCTGCTGAGCCATTCATTTTAGAATGAGCTATTCATTCTAGATTCAAAGAAGGAGGAAGTAGAAAGTCATGCTTGGATGTTTAGCTTCTGCCCCAGCAATGGTGGCCAGAGAAGATATATAAGTTATCTATTGTTATGTAACAAATCATCCCAGAATTTAGAGGCTTAAAACCACAAACACTTATTATCTGGTAGATTTTGCAGATGAGGAATTTGGGAACCTTAGCTGGGTATTCTGGTCCATAAAATATGTGAGACTGCATTGAAGATGTTGGCAGGAGATCAGTCAATATGTCCTCCTTCCATGGTTCTTGGCTGCCTGAATGTCCTCATAAGTGACCCAAGAAAGGAGATGCAGAAGCCTATAATGCCTTTACAACATAATCTTAAGAGTGACATATCATTTCTTCTACTGTATTCTTTTAAGCACACAAACCGATCCTGAGACAATGCAGAAGGGGATTATACTAGTACAAGATTATTGCATTTAACCATATATGGATGGAACTACAGTCAAATAACTGCCAGCTGTTTATCTTTTCCCAACCAGATAAAACCTCTGATCACCAATCACCCATCATGCCAAAGAATCAAAAGGGTATAATTGTGCTCCAAATACATTTTCTGTGGTCTCTCTCTCTCTCTCTCTCTCTCTCTCTCTCTCTCTCTCTCTCTCTTTGTTAATCCTCACCCGAGGATATTTTTCCATTGATTTTTAGAGAGAGCAGAAGGGAGGGGGAGAGACACAAAGAGAGAGAGAAACATCGATGTGAAAGACACATCAATTGGTTGCCTCCGGCATGTGCCCTAACAGGGCCAGGAATCGAGTCTGCAACTGAGGTACATACTCTTGACCTGCAACCCTTCAACACTCTATCCACTGAGCAAAAATGGCTAGGACTCTGTGGTCTCTTAATAAATTTATTTCTTGAACTCCATAAATATGTCTACTCAAAACATGAATTTTCTACACTGTCAAAATAATTTGAGTCTGGATGTGACAATCAATGGTAAATGAAACAGAACTGTGGGAATGTAACTTGGCTTATCAGAGACTAGCCAAGACTGATTATTTGATGCAAAATAAAGAAATAGAGCAAAGATATTTTGAATGAACATGGATTTGGCTGTCATAATTGAACTAGGTTGGAGGGACCTCAAGTCTGGTTCTGAACTCGACCCCAGAGTACTCCTAATCACACAGCTGCTGAAGGTGGTTCACAAAAGGCATAGCCGGACCTCGTCCTATTCAGTGAAAGCAGGAGATTTTTTCATTAGAAAAACTGCAGGTTATAAAAGAGATTCACTTTAGAACTCTCCCATTCTTTTGCTTTTCTTTCCATGTGGCAATTGTTCTTTAGTTTGGTATTTCTGTGAGGTGAACATAACAACTGGAACAATTCTCCCTCAGTTCTCTATCACTTTTTTTGCTCCTCACTTTAGTCTTTGTTAGTTCCTTGGAGCATGGAGGGTAGTGTCAAGGAAGAAGGAAAGGAAACAGTAGGGAGGAGGGGAAAGCAGGAGAGGAAGGTGGTAAAAAGGAAGAGAGAGGAAACAGGTGTGTGCGTGTGTGTGTGTGTACATGTGCACACAATGAAAGAAAGGAAAATTCTGATCATAATAATGAATTAGAATCAGAAACTGAACCTTGCTCACCAGATAGTTCAACACCCTTATTTTTCAGATGAGAAAACTGAGTACATGAAGGATTAAAGGATTTACTTAAGGTGATGAAACAAGTCAGGGGCACAGCTGGACAATAGAACACAGGTGTCCCCCACTACCTCCTTTTAAGTATTTCCTAATATTTCCCTGGCTGCCCCATCAGTCTGTAAGAATAAATAGCCTCTGCCTCCTCCTCATCCAACCACACAACTCAGAGCCTGAAAGAGCATTTCAATCAAGTTGAATAAACTGTGTGTGTGTGTGGTGGGGGAGGGTGTCTGAATCTGCAGTGAGCCAGGATAGTGAAAAGAAGCATATTGCTAAGGAAGATGACTTTTTACCTGATTATAACATACAACTTAAACAAGTCTTCAAATTTCCCAAGGCGGAGTAATAGAAAAGGAAGAGTTATAACACTCCTGACAATTAAATGGTAGTTCTAACAGATCCGTCATGTCTTCAGAGGCCATATTGCAAGGCCACTAATAACAGAGACACTAATGTGTTTGGGTTGCACTTAACAATCCGAGTGTTTAGTGCACTTCAACCATTTGTTCTGGGTCAACAGAGGTTAACAAGCCAGTAGTGAATATAAACACAATTGTGTTTCGTTAGGCTAAGCTCCTGGTTTGAAGAGCAAGGACAAAGCCCCATCAATTATTACGTCCTTCTAGAAACAAGTGATGCATGTTGGATAAATATACTGATACTCACTGTTGTGTTTGAAGATCCTTATGGTTGCACCTGAGAGTCGGGCCCCAAGCACAAGAGATGCGTGGTTTAACTCATCACTTAAAATGAGGCACCCCTGTTTAGAAAAAAAGCACATATGACTCAGGTCAATAAATAAAGTTAAGGAAAAACAACATGGGGGACAGTAAGATACTTCAAGACTTGAAACATAGAATCTTGCACACACTTCAGTTTTAAAAACCCAAATGGTAATCTGGTGTCTATATGGATAAAATACTATTCACCAATTAGCTGATGGAGTTGGGGGTTGTTTTAAGAGATTACATCTTTAGTCACATACATTTAATTTTCAGCAGAAAAGGTCATTTAAGATCTTGGTTCAGCAACAGCTATTGTACAAAGAATTGATGTTTGACAGGAAAACTGATGTACTTTTGGGTGGGTTGGGGACTTGCTGGGGTCCTTCAATCCCATGCTGGATTATTTGAGACAGTTTTGGTGTGTTCCTACTGAAAGGCAGGGTCTTTTCTTTCTCATTCTTCACTGTACTGACATTCATGCAATAAGAGCGCCATTGCTTGACAGTTAAAAACACTGCATTTGGCAAGTATGACTGGCAATGCAGTCTGAGGCACGTGGAAAATCCCAATCTAATTTACTGCTTATACATTACAACTTACAAAATTATTTTTCCTTTTGAATGAAAACACTTTAAATTTTGAAACTGCTCAACCATATCCAAAATGCAGACAAACTACAGTGGCCATTTGTCTTCCATGGCCACCCAGGATCTGTGAGTTCTTCCTTATATTTTGGAAACTTCATACGTAACATGTTTTGAGTTTTTGAGGCAAGAGCCAGCTACATTCCTATACTCTATACTCCAGACATGGGTGTGCATTTATTATTTTTTGGTGAACATTTGAGAGTTACTTGTAAACCTCATGATACCTCACCCTGAAGTTCTTCAGCATATTTTTATTAAGAACAAGAACATTCTCCTACAAAATCACTATGTAATCATTACACCCAAGAAATTAAACATCTATATATTATCATGTAATATACAGCTCAAAATAATGTTTCCCCAACTGTCCTAATATTATCTTATGCTGTTTATAGATATTGTTTTTCCCTCTATTTTTTGAAAACATAATCCAATCAAAGACTATATATTACATTTAGTTGTCATGAGTCAGATTTCTCAAAAAACATAAATCTGGTTATGGCACTTGATTTTACTTAAAATGAACCAACCCACTCCCCATTTTTCTCAGGAAGAATGTCAAAATTTGCACATGATTTACACTGCAAGACTTTGCAATTTGGCATCTGCCATCATCTCTGGTCCCTTCTTCATCCACTACTCTATCTATACTCTAGTTCTTCCCAGCCTAGACCGTTACCCATGCTGTTTCCTCTTCCTTGTCTTAAAGAAATAACTTATCTATCTTAACAGATAAGTAAAAAAAATTCTCATGTCACCCACTTTAAATGAGCTTTCTCAAGAAGAGTTTGAGGGCAACTTTTTGTCCTTCCCCATGAATATACATGCCTTCTCTGTGTTAGTCATCCTACCTTATTTGGTGTGTTTTTTTCTCCATTAGAATGTAAAATACATAAAGTTACAAGGCACAAGTCTTGTTCATCTTTGTATGTTCTGTATCTTGCCTCACAACAGGACATAGTAGATTCTCAGTCAGGTATTTATTGAGTGAATGAGTAAATGAATGAATGGTACAAGCAAAATGTTGGCTAATAAGTGTTTGCTTCATTATAGATGATGAGTTGTGAGCCAACAAATTTAATTGATTTTGCTAAGAAACCAATTGATTTTGCATGAAAGATGAAGCTTGACTCACAGTTGGGGCTGCAATTCTATAACCAGAATATAATGATGAAGAGGTCTGATGGACTAAGCTGGTACATTTATTTAAAAAGCTGGATATCCATTAGGCTTTTCCTCAGAAAAGGAACTTCTGAGCTATACCTCTAACAAAGGGTCTTCTCAGTTATAATTCTTAGGAAAAATACAGCAGAAGACAATTATGTCAACAAATTCTCACCTTTCCAACTAGTGCAGGAATATTCATTGAGTTAGTTGCAAATCCCATCCCAAAGACCATGGCTGCTTCTACATTCAGGAACTGAGCCACAAGGTCCTCCAACTCTTTATGCTTATTCAAGGTTCCTGCACATGAAATAATAGGATGAGTAAGTCTTCTCTTTCACAAAAAGTCCAAGAATTAAAACTCAAATTCCAGTACATAACCATCACCAAAATTTATATGTTTTGGTGATACATAGCAATATATTTACTATATAGTCCCCATACAGAAACAACCCAAATGTCCATTTACTACAGAATGGATAGATGCATTGTGGGAGTATCTATATAGTGGAATTCAACACAGCAATGAGAAAGAACAAATTACTGTCCCACACAACAACTTAAAAAAAATCTCACAAATTAGTGATTGAGTGAAATAAATCAGATACTTATATACTAATACAGGTTGTATGAGTACATTTATATAACATTTACAAACAGATAAAACTAACCTATAATGTTGAAAGTCAGGGTGGTGGTTTCTTTTACTGGGAGCATGAGAACTTTGAGATTCTTTAAATGTTTTATTTCTAGATCTGGGTGCTAGTTACATGGTATGTTTGCTTTGTAAAAATTCATTGAGCTGAATACTTGTGATTGGTGTACTTTCTATATAAATACCTATGATGCAATAAAAACTACAAAAAATTCCACAATTTCTTTCTCGCCACACCCTACATCTCACAAATAATTGATTAAATGTTAACCCCTCAGAAGTTCCCTACACTCACATGTAAACAGATTCCACGACTTTCATAAATACTAATACATCTAGTTATAATTTATTGAACCTTTGGAATGTGCTAGATTTTGAAGCCCACTATTTAGGTTATCTCATTTCATCTAAATAGCCCAGTAATCTAGGTATTATTACTTTACAGATAAGAAAGCTAAAGTGTAAAGAGGTTACAGAAAAAAAGCAACAGAGGTAATCTAGTCTAACTCCAAAGTTCACATTTTCACCACTTTAGTATCTTTTATATGTGTACTCTCTGACCCCTTTCTATGCATAATCCCCTCGTGCCTTACTGAGAGCAAACCCGATGCTCCCATGTTTTCCTTTTTGTCACCACTCTGGCTTCTAGATCTGCACCATCTCATATGGTAGCCTCTAGCTACAAATGGTTAGTGCAATAGAGTCAAATTTTATTTAACTTAATTTAAATTTTTAGACCTAAGCACTATAAAATATTTACCACTCAACACAATTTCATATTTTGATAGGGTTACATTCTACTTATTTCACTTTACTCGATGAAAATGTCTGATCTGAATTGAGATGTGCTATAAGGGTAAAATATACACAATTTTTAGGGCTTAGTTCAACAAGAAAAATAATGTAAAATGGCTTATTAATCTTTTTATATTGACTACATGTTTAAGTCATAATATGTTGGATATATTGGGTGGAAAATATAAAGTTGAGTTTACCTGGTTTTTAAAACCTTTTTAATGTTTTAATTTTTTTACTATAAAATTTAAATTATAGGTGTCTTGCATTATATTTTTATTGGGCACTACTGCTCTAGATGATACATTTAACAGGACGGAAAAATGGACAAGTGGAGAGATGCTGTAATTTGCATCCTTGGGATGTAGAAGCCAGATTTAACTCAAATTTAAGTTAGAGCTATATTGTTAGCTTATTCAGAACTATTATAAACATGCTTCTTTTAACCTAATGATTAACATACTTTAGTAAACATAATGTGATATCAGACTTTAATTTAAATTGGTAAATTATCTTGCTTATTGTGCTAAAATGGTGATGCATTAAACTGTAGAAAGCACTGAATGGTTCAAAGTTTTAGTCTGCATTTAATACAGAAGCTAACATTTGATGTCCAATCTTTATCTTTTATGAGAAATCACACTATCATCTAACAGATAACTGGTGGTCTTTCTTTTCAAACCAGAATTCATCTGTTTTTCAATTGTCAGGAACCATAGTAAAACATGTATTTCGGCAAAGTCAATTTTGCTTAAGATTTGAAGGAAAATGTTAAAACTTTAAATTGTAATTTAAAACCTTTTCATTATCTAAGATATATTAAATAAAAAGAGAAACAAAAATTTAAAGATAAAAATGCAGTCACGTAATCATTTGTCAGATTTTTACCTAGCAGAGACTGCATCCCAACAGGAATGGCCCCCGGAATAAGGAGTGGAAAGGCCATTGGCCTGGACACAGGAAGACTTGAGTTCTGGCTCCGGCATTTTCACAAAACAGCTGAGTGGACTTGCAGTTTCCAGAGAGGCGGAGAGAGGCACCTTTGTAGGTTTTCCTGACATGGGGAGTGCTCTTTTCTCCACATCTATTTTCTTGCAGCTCTCACTCACTCTTTGAGATCCACCCAACATGACCTCCTTTCTGGGATTCCATTCTCAGCTTCCCCAGGTGAACTGGTCATGTTCTCTTCTAAGATTGCATAATGCTCATAGCCTTTAAGTTGAACTGAGGATGTCCACAGGACCATCTTCTTTTTTTATTACAGAAAGAGCCCTCAGGATATGTATACCGTGTTTGAAATGTTCCTCTTGGCAGCCACGGTGCCTAGTGCAGTACCGACACATAGTACTGGTAGAATTGCATGCTGTCTTTTGACGGAGAATGAAGATAGAACTGAGCCTAGAGGAGGTGATGGTGCAGGGAAGAAGGTCAAGAACCATGTGATACTAGGGCAATAAGGTGGCTGGGCAGTGAGGACCAGCTTGAAAATACCCATATCTGAAAAAGGCCTCCAGCAATGAGGTGGCTAACCAAGCCTTGCTAATGCTGTAACTTTTCTCAAGAGACTTTCCTACCTAGAGGGTGAGGGGACAGCAGTGTCCTGGTCCAGACACCCAGAACTGTGTGAGTAGGAGTTCATCATGAATCTTTGTGACCTCCACCTTCCTAAATATGATATCTCAAGGGTTTATCTATTACAGTTGCCTCACTAAAACTTCTTAGAATAATGAAGGATGTGTTGTAAGCAACCGAACAGCCAACTAGCCAACTAATGAGAAATGGGTGTATCTAAGGACATCTTGAGAAATTGCCAAGATGGAGATGAGAGGAAATGCAGTGTCTATATAAGGCCTCCAGATGCAAGTCAGTGGTGACATGGTTAGTAAAGTAATATTTAAATACATGAATTTCTATAGCCAGATGCCTCACACCTGAGTTATGAGTTATGAATGGTTGTGCATCTACAGGCTTACCTTCATGTGTTGAAACAAGAGTCCCCAATCTCAAACCCAATTATCATAGAATTTCTTTGTTTAGTGTTCATAGCTCAAATTTCATAAACAGATTTGAAAGATTCCCAGAATGGTTGGCCATTTTCTTATTCAAGAAGTTATGGCTTTTAAAGTTAGCCTGGGTTGGTCTGGGGTGGGGTAGTTTGTTAATAAATAATAAAGAGTGTGACATATTTGCATTAATTGACTGCTGATTTCCTCCTCCTATTCTTCATATTCAATAAATAGAAGTGTAGGAATACCTTGGGAAAACAAAGGAGTCACTAGAAACTTACCTAGTTTGCTTTCCACAAATATTCAGTCCATACACATTTACTGAATTGAGGTGTCTGAGTTATGACAAATTATAGTAGGTAGTTGAGTACCTGAGTACTTCTAGAAATTACATTCAACATTTCATCTGTATATAAAGATGACCATTTTTTAATCCCAAGAAAATACAGCTGATAGCATTATTATTAGCTAGGAAAGGAGCTAATTAGGAAAGGAGGAAAGGAGGAAGCCAGACCTTATAAGCATAGCTATTTGGGCAGCTTCACCAGGAAGCTGCAATTTTGTACTCTGCAGGTAATCACCTGCCCCTTCCCTGCAGATCACTGGGGAAGGGGACCAACAAAGAGGAGATGGATACATGCACAGTAAAGTTGGGGTGACACAGGGAGGGTGCCTGTCAGTCAAACCTTGGAGCAGAAACCATTGGCCAGAATAGACAGGGCCACTGCAAGCCCATGACAATTTGGAAATACATAATCCACTAAACAAAGGAGCTTGCTGTCTTGGCTCTTGCTCTCTGGCTCCCTTGGCTTTGCTCCTGTCCACGTTCTCTCCATAGACACATAGCCATGTGGCATGTGGATCCCACAGCAGTGGACTGATGAACTGCACCTGGGAACACAAACTAAGCTAGCCTGATGCTGGACTGGACACTGCTCCAATGTGGAACAGAATCTCTGGGCACCGGCTTTGATTCTAGCTCTCTTGAAGCTACAGCTACACTTCTTATATGGTGGGACAAAGGGAAATGGGACCAGGGGACCTCAGGGGTTTAACTTCACAGAAATAAAGCTTTCTACAATATTTCATCCTCCCATGCGAGTCTCCAAAAATTCATTTTCTCTGGATATTGGAAGAATCCCACTCCCACTAGCAACAGGTAGGGATGAGGACCTTTCCCCACTGATAACACATCTATTGTCCTAAATGAGGGTACAGGTAAATTCACAATAACTTTTATTTCCTTTTCTCTCTTTAGTCCCTGAAGGTCAATAACAGTCATAATTGCCCTAACTGGTTTGGCTCAGTGGATAGAGCATTGACCTGTGGACTGAAAGGTCACAGGTTCGATTCCAGTCAAGGGCATGTACCTTGGTTGTGGGCACATCCCCAGTTGGGGGTGTGCAGGAGGCAGCTGATCGATGTTTCTTTCTCGTCGATGTTTCTAACTCTCTATCCCTCTCCCTTCCTCTCTGTAAAAAATCAATAAAATATATTTTTTTAAAAGTCATAATTGGCAGAGACAATTGCTATGTTGTGCATATATGGGCACTTATTCTCATCCTGAAGGTTCATTTATCCAATGGGATAATGAATAAAAGAATAAATACAAACTGGGTGTATCCTCTTGCCAGCTCTCTTAGCATTATTTCATCTGCCAAGTACTGGGTTTGCAACTATCAGTCAAATCAATAAAAAATCAGATTCAGGGGAAAAGTACCTATATTGTATTTATGGATGATGCACTGCTCCTGGATTTTTATTGACATTTACTGACTAAAAAATTTCAGTAGAACATATAGATTGCTGGCCTTCATATTGACACTGATCAATAGTAAAGAGTG